ATCAAGTATCTCAGCTCACCTTACTCTGAAAAAAGCATGAAAACATACATTTTTGGCAAATGACTTGGAGTTGTATTGCACAAAGTGACATGATAGATGAATCCAAGTGAATGTGAATCTAGTACAAGTCTAAAAACGCTGTTGTCCTCTCTAATGTGCCGGTCCCAGGACTCTGAACTAAAGAGGACAGTGGACGAGAGCGAGCGCATAAAGAGGGCCTATGGACATTACTTTGATCTTTGCATCGTCAACGACGGTTTGGAGGTGGCCTTCCGCAGCCTCCGGGTGGCGCTGGAGAAGCTCTCCATGGAGCATCAGTGGGTGCCGGTCAGCTGGGTGTTCTGAGCATCGCCTGCAAAGAGTCGGAGGACGCTTCCTCCGATGGAGCCACACAGGCGACCAGCCTCACATAGAAGCATTTTTTGTACAAACTAAGTGTTCCTCTGTCGAGCCTAATGTCAAGTTGTGATTAATTTATCAAAACTGGTTGTTGAGGAAGCTTTAGAGACGACGGCGAGTTGTAGTGTGACCGTTTAAATGTGGATGATAAACAGTTTGAGGGACAGTTTTAGCCTTCACAAATCTTAAATACTTTATGTAGTGTAAATGTTTACATTGGTTCTGTAGGAAGGTTTGAAGAAAGATACCAAATGTCACATTTGAGTTAAAAACTTAATATTTTTGCCATTTGATCACATGGTACGATTGTACGTGTTCAGAAATGTGCTAAAATAAATGGCAATAGTTACTGAAATAAACATGCAATACACTGACTGACACACCAGAACGGAAACACACACATTCCTGCTATGAGAAGCAGTGGAGGATATTCATGTTGAGACATTTTTCATTCATTTTCTTTTCTTTTTAAATGTTGATTTCTGTGTGTTCGTCCTGACAGTTAGAGGGTACAGCAGATGTTTGAGTTTAATCCGTAGCACCAGTAACAATCAAACCGTAACACCTTCAGTATCCTAGACCTGTTGTGTGCGTTGTCAAACCAAGGGAAAACATTCAACCTTAGCGTTTACTTCTTGGACTCTTGATGGAAGGTAGTATTTTTTTTTTTTTTTTGTTTTTGTTACTTTTACGTAAAACCGGTTACCAGTGGCTTCAAATTCATGTTTACTTTTGCCTTAATATGGTTCAAAAGCCAAGGAAACTATTTTTTTCATTGTGGAACTTTTTGTTTCAATCAGTGCACATGTTCCTTTGGAAAAAAACACATAACTCTATCAGCTTATTTATTGTTCATTTAATCTTTCTTTAAGCCTGTAAGTACTGTATTGTAATAAAGAGTGTATAGAATATCAAAGAAACACCTGGTACTCTGATGATTCGGCTGGTGTGCAATACTCTTTATTCTGATCTTCATATCAAAAGTTTATTAAAAATGCAGTTGGTTAAAAAATATTGCACTCTTTTTGTTAAGTAATTTTGATATGCATATACGCAAACGTGTTCATATTTTTTTCTTTTTTTTTAATATACTTTTCATCTCACTTGAATCTAAAACTTTGGTTTATTTGGAGTTTTATACAGCGCTCCGACACAAATGATGCGGAATGAAAATGATAAATGGTTTTTAAACTAAAACAAATAAAATTAAATCTGAAAAGTGTAGCACGCTTTTGTATTGAGCCATAAGTCAAAATACTTTGACTTATTCCTGTGGGTTCTATTTTGGGTATCAGAGTAAAGGGAGTTGAATCTTTTTTTTTTTTTTTTTCAGTAGTAGAATATTTTGAAAACCAGTTAAATGCATTTTCTTGTAATATTTCAAATAAAATCGGATTGTTCAGCTAAAGGATGCTCTCCGTGAGCGGTGCTGGTTGTGGGGTGAGGCAGGTGTGGTCAGCTGTCCACGTCCCAGGGGAGTCATCCAATGAGAAGCAAGGGGCGGGGCTATTGGATACACGCTGTATGGCGGCAGGGCCAGTTTGGGGTCAACCTGCATGAGAGAAACGTAAAGGGTCACTTTGAGTATTTTGTGTTATTTGTTTAAATCAACCATGGTTGCTAGGCAACGGAGGGCTAAGTGTGCTTCCCCAGACTAACATCAATGTGTTACAAGAGGAAGCAGAAATTAAAGCCACCACTTCCACTGAGCTACAGCCGCTCACCGTTAGGGGGCGCTGTTGCTAAATTACACAGTCACAACTCAGAAATAATCTGGGTTATAAAACAAAAGAGGTTTGTTTTTCAGTCATATTTTCACCATGTTGTTCATTCAATTATGAAATAAAATATTGAAATAGGAAGCTAAATATTTATTTTGCAAAGTAAACATTTTGCTCCAAAATATGTTGTTTAGCCACCTAAATATTTACTTTGAGGCTAAATGTTTAGTTTTCAAAGTAAATATTTAATTTACAAACAGAATATTTAGCTCCAATATATTTAGTTACCACAATAAATAGTTTGAAACTGAATTATTTATAGGTGAATGAAAGACATGGTGAAAATATGAACCCCACATTTTTTCTCTTATGACTGAATTATTGCTGTTACTTTGTGACTTGGTAAAAATGGCCACATAGAAGCTTCCTTCAGGTTTAAGGCTAGTTTCACTTTGTCTTTGGCAAAAACTATTTCAATGTACTACATTATTCAGATTTATATGTGTTGAGTTTTTTGGTTCTCAGACACTAGTGCACATTGGGAGGAAAGTTGATTTTGGGCTCATTTGATGTTACAGTTGACATTGGAGGCAACTTATCCGTCCTCACCAGCGAGTATGGAGGCGGATGTCCCATGGTGTAGCGTGGAGTTTGTCGCTCGAACTCTGTGTCCACTTCCTGGTCCTCTGGCCTGCATATCGCTTGGACGTGCATCGTTACCATGGCGTTGCGCTGTTCTCTTCTCTTCTTCAAGTGATGATAGAAGCAGAGGAGGACGCCTGCAATGGAGATCACTGCCACCGGCAATCTGGGAACAAAGAGTTTATTTCCACACAGTAACTTTGGAGCTCAGACGGACTCAGTCTTCAATTCATTGTTAACTCACATTATTCGAAACATCCTTCAGTCACAGCTGGACTTAAGTCGACCTGCCGGCCTCACTGAGAGACGAAGCGCATCGTTTCACCAACCTGCTGGTCAAAACGAGAGCTTTTTCTGCTTCTGCACTAAATCAATAGGAAACAACCGAACAGATTGATGCAATTTGTAGCCAAATTATGAACTAATGTCCTTTATATCCCAACTGATTCTGACACAACCCTGTCAAATGATTATGACCTAAAGTGACCCGGGAACATTTCCCTCACAGAAACGTTCAGATGCGAAGCGATGATAGAAGGATTTAGACCTGCAGCATCTGAGATCCAACATTTCTAACATTCATACTGAAATCTGTTGTTTTTTTAAACCTGAGGCGACAAGTGAAGCTCCGTCTCAGATCTATTATCCCATCAAATATGTGATAATTAGTTTTAGACACTGATCTTACCTTGTTTGAAGTTATCCAGAAGTTATCCAGAGCCCGAGCTGCTGTCAAATGATAATGTGTCACATGAAGGAGGCAGAGTGAGCAACGTTTACAGCATCGCTGTCATGCCACAGAGGGGCGTGTTCACTCTTTGTCACACTTATTGTACAGAGCTATGTTCAAACCCCTGGCACTTTTACACATTTTGTCACAACCACATAATTCAACATGTTTTTGGGGATCTTGTGTGCAGTGCAGAAATTATTTTATATAAGCGATATAAAATAATTTTTAGATAAGTCAAAAAAGCGTGATTTCCATTTGCATTTAGATTGATGTCAGGTTACTTTCTTTGCTCCTTTGGGCTAGCTCTGCATATTTAGTGTATACAAAAAATCATTAAAATGACATGAAAACACCTGCAAACATGACCTAGAACAAAATCCCACTAATTTTTTGTTTGATAAGGAGTAGCAGAAGCGAACACTTATTTAAACCTGACATTTAATGCACCTACATACTCAATAATTATCAGAAATTTGTAATTGAAAGGCATGTTATTCAATTTACTGAGCTAAACCTACTAATAAATTCTGTTACATAAAACAAAATGATTACAAACTGACTCTTAACGGGACGAGAACATTTACTGACTGTAATGAAGAGGCCTTCATTACTGAATTAATTTATTCAATGTATTGTATAGCACTGTAAAAACATTTGCACTTTCTCACTATGCACTTTATTTAGCACTGCACTTTTAAAGTAGATCTATAAATTAATAACATTTTGCACTCAGGAAGTTTTAATTGTATTTATTGAGTATTTTAGGTATTGTGTGTAGCCTTTGTTCTGGGCTCTGCACAGCTGCTCCTCATTGGCCAGTGGAGGTGGTTAACTGTGAAGAAAGAATAATTGGTACTCAGAGCAATGAGCTATTGGTAGATAAAACTAAGTAAATGGTGTGCATAATTTATTAGGTATGGAATGTGCTAATATAGTGACTCACCTGTCTTTTTCTGTGTCCTCTCAGGATGTTTGGAAAATATTGTCCTAAGGGGCTGGACAATGATGTAGGTCCTGGGAGAGACCATTGAGAAGAATGGGAGAGGGGTGTATTGTTTTATGGTGTTTTAATAAGGGTAAGGATAAAACATAAAAAATATTTATAAAAAGGAAGTTGATGTGTTCATAGTAAAATGTATTTTATTCAATTAAGTGGAACAGGGTAAGATGGGATTACCTTATGAATTTTCAGATTGTTTTATCTGTCACAGCTGGGACTATTTAAGATTGTAATTTTCACCTGTGAGACAGATATTGAGACATTGAGATTTGTGAGACCAAGAGTGTGACTTATTGTTTGTGATGCTGGGAGGAATAAACCTGCTGTTCCACCTAAACTCCGCTTCATATCATCTGTTTGCACTGTAAAATCCAGCCGAGAAAGGCCAACCTGTTACACTGACCCATAATAACAATAGTAATAATGACTTGTGTTGTGAAAAACCAATGAACCAAATTCACACATTTCACTTTTTTAAAATTTTAAAAATTTTTTTATTATTGGTTAAAAGTTTTTAAAACATAAAGATGGACGAAATATATATATTTTTTCCACTTTACAAAACAAAGTCAGTTCTTTGCATTGTCACATAAAATCTATATAAAAATTTAAACATGGAAGTTTGTTCTGGGATAAACAAAACTGTCAACACATCTGGACATTTTAAAACACATAAAAACACATGTTGATTCCTATTTAGAGGAATCATCAAGAAGAGAGAACTTTAACTACGCTCTACTCAGATCAGTGTAATACTGGTGTGAAGGCTCTAAAAAGATAAGCTGAACTTGAGATAATTTATGCATATTTTTTAAACTTTTTCATCACCAAAACAAAGCAATTTCTTTCATTTTTTTGGATTATGGAGAGTGAAGCGTGAGCAATAAGCTCCAAACAGGAATCCTAACATGAGGGAGAATTGATTCCCTGCTGGGAAAATACTTCAACTCTTTGAGGTAAACAGAAGAAGAAAATGTGACTGAGTGTCGCTGACCTGCAATCAAAGTACAGAGCTAAATGAAATTGAGAAGCAAAATTAAAATATAAAAACTTTCTCTTTTGCAGAAACGCTTCACTAAATCTGGGTGAATTGAAGTCATTTTATCAGGAAGAGTCGGCAGGCTGTTCAGTTTGTCGTCATGCAAATGGAGACAAACCTGGAGTGACGGACCGACTCACTCAGCTGATTTCTGTCTGCAAAAACTGTTTAAAAACATATTCACTGTCATTCAGTTTGCACATAGCACTGCACATGGATTTTTGTGGTAGTAACACAGCAAAATATCCTCAAAAAACTGAACAAAAGTATTGTTCTAAAAAATCATTCTAAAAAAAACTCCTCAAATCTGAAACTTTAAAAAAAAAACTAATTTTTTCTCGGGCAGCTGAATTCAATTCATTTTCTCTCAGATTAAATTGATTTAACTTAAAACCAACATACTTTAAAAGTTCCCCTTCATATTTATCTGCATCTAGATCTTTATTTGTACAGTTCAGTGTAACTGACGCCACCAGGTACAGTAAATGCACTTAATTATAGAGGTTTTAAATATGACTTGCAGCAGACAGTTCACACCCTCAGTGGCCTGTTTAAAGACGCAGAGCACACTGAGGTCAAAGCTGCCAGTGTTAGAGACTTAGAATCACGTTGACCAGACAGGAAAGTGACCGCTGCCGGGGTTGAGCCGCAGACCGCTGCAGTTTGAAGCAACCCTCATTATGATGAGGCACGGACGTTATGGGGAAGAGGAAAAAGTGATGGGAGAGCTGATGACAGGAAGCCAGGAATTCCTGTTTCAGCTTGTTTTGAAGGAATGCGGTGGAGGCCCTGCTGGGACACGCTGGGACGATCCGCGCCGCTCACCTTCTGTACTCACAGAATGCTGAAGGAGGAATTTTCTAAACCAGAAAATGTCACTTCGGGCTAGCACTTTGGCATTAATCACAGATGAAACAGCTCAGGGTTCAAACACACACCTACACACACACACACACAGAAAGATGCTTTCTTTTGGTTCTGCTTCAAAGTTAGCAGAACCCTGAGTGACACAATCTACCATCTAGAAGAGAGGTGGTGGGGGAGGGGGGGGTGGTGGTGGTACACTACTGGCTGGAGGAAGAGGAGGAGGAGGAGGTGGAGGAGGAAGAGGAGGAGGAGGAGGAGGAGGAGGAGGTAGACCGGTGTTGCTGCCAGCAGGAGGTGGAGGGGGTGGCAGGAAGCTGTTGTCTGACAGGCCAATGGCCGGTGGAGGAGGGGGTTGGGGGAGATTGAAGGGAGATGGAAAGGAGGGTGGAGGAGGGAGGCCAAAGTCCATCGAGGAAGGAGGAGAAGGCAGGTTTGTGGCAGAAGCAGGTGGAGGAGGGGGAGGCAGGCTGTTAACTGTGGGCTTGGTGGGAACAGAGGGCAGAGGTACGGCGATGCCGTGGGCCGACCTGTCGAGGCAAAACAACAGGACAGCAGTCAGGACTTCTACATCAGGTTCAGTTAAATCAGATCTCCATATCACATCAATACAGTAACAAAAGAGACTGAAACTCTGTCGGGATCCATAGCTTAGGTGGAAGAGTCCCTCAACAGAACATATTTTAGTCAAGCATTCCTCTAATCTGGCTTTTACCTTGATCCAAAATCATTTCTAGGTATGTCAATTTCATTCAAAAGTCATCTAGTTAGTAGACAAGGTCGACGAACCTAATTCATTCTCAGTATATGCATAACTGTTCTGTGATGACCTCAGAGGTTCAGAGAACATTAGTGATCACACAGAATCCACACGACCGAGGAACACGGCAGACAGATCAGAAAGAAACGGCCAAGGTAGGAGTTTTCTACAAGCCATGTAGGGAACACAGCAAGAAGGCACCACTGTCAGATAAAAGTGATTTTGGACGTTATGAGTAACATTTAAAATGATTTGTGTGATGACAGTCTGATCACACCATCACAATGGTGAACAGGCTGGTGTGTCTGAGACCAAGACCAAGACCAAGACGATGGCTGTACCTTTCAAGACCAAGACTAGACCCTCCAAGAGAAGACAAAGCCAGGGACCTCAAAGACCAAGAATGGGCAAAGATTTATGTTTCTAGATGGGCAAACCTAGTAGAGACGCACCTCTGTCAAATCGTCTATAAAATTAATGTTGACAATCTCTGTCATTTTCGTTTGCCTTCACAACCTTGCACTGCCTATCAGATAAAAGTTCAATGAAAAGCTTTGAAGTTTGTCTCTGTACTGCGGAGAGATGAGATTTATGTCTACATACACCAAGTGTTCTTCAGCTTTCTCCGTCTTCTCCATGGTCTGTGTGTTCTTGCTGGGCTCCTGCCCTTTGACCTGCAGGTTGGGAGTATGGTAGAAGGTCAATGACAAACAAACTACGAAAAAGATAATATATTTTTCAAACTGAAGCGTACTTCACCTGGAAATAGTGTCCAACGGTGTCCAAGATGGCGTATGATATCGGAGTTCTCATGTAACCCATCTCCTGCTCAATGCCTGATGGGGGTGGGGCCATGGGTTTGGATCGGGTCTTGTCTTTGGGTTTGGTTAAGACACCAATCTCCCTCCTTGCCACATTCTCAAAGTGGATCGCAGCAGCCTGGATCAGAACACAGTCGACTAAACTACTAATAGCCACAACCTGCCATGACTAAATGAGGGAGTCTGACCCGGTACAAGACAAGATAAAAATACATTTTACCTTCATTTTCATGTTTCATTTAAAAGAAACATGTACAACATGACTGAGTTACGTTCACTTACAACAGAAAAGAAACAATTAGTCCTACTGCAACAGGAAAAGTTTATTATCACACTGACATCATTTTTTCATTCCTATTTTAATTTGATGCACAGATCTAAGCAAAAATATAAAATGAGCAGCTGCAGTTGGTAAGTTTTATTTGATCTGTGTATGGAATATTATTTTCTATAGAGAGAGAGAGCAAAATTAATGTTGCACATTGATTAAATTACATTGTCATTGTGAAGTTCAGTTATTTCAGTAATTGAATAAAAACCTAGCCTCATTTAAATAGATCCATTAAACACTAAATAGCAATTATGATTATGAAAACCTAACATTTTCTTTTGTAGAAAAATAGAATACTAAAAAAAACAATGCAACATAAATTTTTGACAAAACGTATTGCAGCCTATGCATGAGATCTTATCCATCAGTCACAGACACTTTTATGTAATATTTTCTACCTTCTTCTACTCTATATATCAGTTTTATAACCACTGAAGGTAACAGCTACTTGATTGTACAATAAAATGGCACAATGTGGCTTTGAACTACATAATACTGACCCTTTAAAACCAGTACTATGGTATGCTCTCCTCCGTGTCACGCTGCACTGATGCAGTAATTCAAGCAAAAAAGAACCACAATCAACTATACAGTATACAGTTCAGTACACAGACATAGACCTGCATGTATTGAAATGTTGAGACTAAAGTCTCAGTTTAAAATAAAATTCATGTCATAATTTTCTTGAGGATTTTCCCATCTGCAGCTGTCTGCAGTGGGTAGGTAGGGTTTCAGAGAGTGCGGGAGTGGGGGTTTCTGGGGGTGCTGTGGGTTCTGGGGGTGCTGCGGGTGCTCCTGTCTCACCAGTGACAGCAGGTTGACGGAAGACTCCATATCTTTGATCTGCATGGCCTGGGAGTCCAGCAGCCTGAGCACCAAGCTGGCCACGCTGTTGATCTGGTAGGTGACACTGGCTAAAGCCTGGGTGGTCAGAGCCTTAGTCTCCTCCACAGCTTTGGTCGGGTCATCCGCCTGTGGCAACATTATCACACACATCAAACCACCCCTGATTAGAAGCTGTTCGGCACTCAGAGAGGTCTTCACTCACCTGGAGGTAGTTGTTCTCGCAGTACTCTGCCACTCGGAGAAGGTTGCTCTGGTTGTCAACCAGATTTCTCCTGGCTGCTGGCGCCTCCTGTAATATCTGACTTATAACCTCTGAGTAGCTCTTTGGTGCTGTCATTTCTCCCATGGCTGTTGCTTTAAAAAAATGTAAAAAAGTCTATTATATGGGAAGCCGATAGACGTCGTTTGGTGAGGATGAAAAAGTTATTTTTTTGTTTTGTTCCCGGTCCACGCAGGGAGGCGTCTGTGTCTGGAGAACGCGGAAAATGCCTGAGGGGAGATTAGAGAGCAGCTGGTCTGAGGGAAGAGCCGCTCCACAGGAAAACACGCAGCATCACACCTGTCTCCTTTAACTGATACACCTGCATTCTTTCTGTTTTGCACCATGCCAATTCAGGCAACCAAACTACTTTTATTATTTCCGACGCATCTCGAAGCAACGCGAAACTCCAGCGGCGATATTCAAACTGTCCACCAGAGGTCAGTGTTGCCAAAGGAATTGACTTCTACAACCCGGAACTCCGAGTGACGTGGAAAACTTACAGATTTTCACAGATTTGTGAGAATCTGTCAATTCGTTCAGTCTTTTTGTTTTGCCCTGTTGCTGAAAATGTGCTGTATAAATAAAATTACCTTCACCTTTTTTCTTTGTAAATGTGAAACTTTTGTTTTTGTGTTGACAATATAACTCTTTCCTCTTTGCTAATCCTGACATTAAGCCCCAGTGATGTTTACAGTTTTGAAGGAAAATGTTTTGTAACAGTCATTGAGGTTTCTAAGGTTGAGGTTTGTAAGGAAAGAAACAGAAGGATTTCACCTGGTTGTTGCAGTTTTAGAATCTTTAATATATATATGTATATATGTATATATTTTTAGCCAGAAAGGACTTTTTTTATCTTTGGTGAGAACCTTATTGCCTTCATGAATCAGGGCCTAAACATGAAAACTTTACTTCAGGAAAAAGCTCAATGAATGTCCCTCTTTCTCTGTTTTTGTTTCTGACACTGATCATTTGGTCTTAGCGGGGCGTTCAGGGCCTATGTCAAGGTCAGACAGGAGGGAATCCGGGGTGTTCCATTGGAGCGCAAGACCACACACAGGGTAGAAAGCTTGCAGGGTCAAACTGACTGCAACAGCAAATGGGTTTTGATTGCTGAACTGTTTAGTTAAAACAAGATGACTAAACAACAGCAAAGAAATTATAGACATTCCCAAACTAACAGAAACTACACATTTCTGACTGATCAGGTATTGGTAATATTCTTCCAGCTATAAAAACTTTGAGGTAATTAAAGAATTTACTGCACATTGCTCTTTATTTTTGTATTTTTATGTTTCCTCTTCAATGAAAAGCAAACATGAAACCTTTTTTTCTAGAGATGTCAAGGTCTCCAAGCAAATTTACTTCTGCTCTGAGTTCTAACAGGACAGTTTCAGTGAGAAGCACTAATGGTACGACACACATCTCAAAACGAAGCGAGTGGAGTTGACTCATTTCAAGAGTGCCTTGCAAATGTTCCGTGCCTTTGGATGAGTTGGAAAGACGCCTCCGTCCACTGAGACATTTGACCAACTTTATCAATTCTCAGTGTTAGTTGTGGGTTTGGAAGGCATTGGTTGACTTGCAGTGATTGGCCAGTAGGTGGCAATGTAGGAAATAGCCCAATGAAACCCAACGACAAACGCTGCGCACCACAAATGAACACTTTGTGATCCACTAGACCAGAGAGAACACAAGGGATGACAGTAACCATACTTATCCTGGTGCTGTTGGGTTCATTTGAGCTTCGTTAAGTAAAATCTCCTGATCTTCCTGCTCTCTGTTCTGCTCACTGCACTTTTTGTTCTCTCTCAGGAATAAGAGAAAGATGCACAAGCTAATGATAATAACCACAGTTTGTTTATCCAGCAACATGTGACCAGATAGACTATCAGTGGTCTCATGCACACTAAAGATAAGTGGTAATTAAACCCACGTCTGATGTGCACATTTGCTCAGCACTCTGTTGTTTTATGGTCTTGTTTAGACAGCTGGATCGTCCGAGCATGAAACCAGCAGCAGAGCTCAGAAATGAGAACGGTCATTCACTTCTAATTGAAACTTACCTCACAGGACGGTTTGGAGGCAACATCATGATAAGGAAGTAAATACTCCATAAGCCCAGAGGTCATTCAAACTGGTCTATGGTCAGACTTTATTAAAATGACACCTGAATGAGACAATGTTTTCCTCTGGTATGATTGACTGTTATTTTATGTTCTGAACATTCATTGGTTGTTCACAAACAGCAGAACCTATGGATGACTTTTGCTGCCCCATCACAGTGTGGGGTTGACCGTCTGCTGCATCAAACCTTCAGTGATTAAATACATCAAGTTTTTGAAAGTCCAAATGGTAGAAATGGTTCCTGATGGCGTGCTTGACAGAAAACAGGTGGAAGAGAGAGGAAATAAAGCTAAAGACCATACGGAGCTGACGCAACATATGACAAGTAAAAACCCAGGAAACGGCACAAACTTCCTCTAAGAGTAGAAGCCTTTTTCTGCTTCCTGTGGCCTGATATCTTCAGCCCACAGATACAACTCATTTCAAGAGTGCCTTGTAACTGTCCTGTTAGAACTCTTTTGCAACAAGAGACTTTGGAGTTAAAACAAACATTGACCATCAAAATGCAATGCAGAACCTACAACAGAGACACCAAAAACATCAGCCGCACCTCCAAAGAAAAAGTTGTGAGGTGTCAAACCTAAAATTTCAACCAATTAGCTATTTGAGATCATGTGCTACCAGTACAGAACTTAACTAACTTAACTTGACTTGGTGTGAAGGCATCTTGCATGGTCAGCAAGGTAAAGCTTTTCAAATACATTTTTAGTGGCAAAAAGGGAAACAAAGAAAAATAACACAAAGATAAGATCAAGAACAACACCAGACAGATGGACGTTCTGCAGGAAGTACCAGGAAGGAAGTGAGGAAACTGGTGAAAAGTTCTTTTCTCTTACAAATCTTCCCCCTGGTTGCTTGGGGCCTCCGAATAATGACTCGCCTGGAGAGGAAAAAGAGCCCCCACGGTAAGTTTTATTGTGCCAACACTGAAGAATCCTGATACAATCCATGTGCTGAGTGGATTTTTTTTCACCACAGGGGAATGAAGTTGGGGTGGAATCCACCCAAGAACGTTGCTATGAATTCAGATCAGGACCAAATCATCTGCCAAATTAAAACCAAATTCTTCTGAGTATTTTCCAGGAAATATTGAGGTCAGGACTTGGAGAATTTTAGACTTAAGGCCAATAAAGTCCCCAGAGAACCTTTGAGTAAGAAAGTGTGTTGATAACCAAGAAAAGTGTGACTAACTGACACTTTTAGGTAAAGAATAAATGAAACACTTTTCAGTCAGACTGGGTGAAACTCCTCCCTGTATTAACTGAGTATCCATCTTTATACGGCTCAGCACCACAATACATTAAAGATCTGTTGTTGTATCAACCTTCCAGATTCTCGGGTCTTCTGGTTCTGGTCTGCTCTGCATCCCCAGAACCAGAACCAAGAGAGGAGAAGCAGCTTTCAGCATCTATGCACCAAAAATTTGTGAAAACTGTAAAACAGCTGAAACACTGAGTGCCTTCAAATCTCGACGAAAAACCCACTTGTTTAGAGTTTTATTGAAAACGTAACCAAATATGAATTTAATGTAATTGTCTTAAAAACTTGACTTAATGTCATGTTTTTAACATTGATTCTATGTTGCAAATACACAAACATTTGTGAGTCGACGGAGTCGCAGAGCAAAGATCCGTGACAGAGGTGAACGGAGCCTCGTGCCGAAAGCCCATTGAAACTGTGTGATTGTGAGTGTGAATAAAAATAAGTATATAAAATAAAACTGGTAGGACAACAACTTCTAAATCATATGCTGTGCTCCACCATTAGCATCCACGCTTACTTCCGCAAACACTGAGCACTGTTTATGGCATGTGGGAAAACACTGAGCAATCTCTCTAAGTGTGACGTCATTGCGTCCTCTATTGTGCATACGAGACACTTTCAGGTTGTTTTCAACTCATACAGGTCACATGTATTTGGAAGTGTGAACAATCATGCCCGAAAAAATCCAATTTGACAAAAAACATTTGGTTTGGGTCACTTCAGGCTGCAGTGTGAACGTAGCCTTAGTCTGATGTCATTTCTTTTCTTGGTCCTCCTCCATCATGTTTGGATCTCCCTTAAGGCCATTTTCTTAAAATGACATCACTAAAAGATGCTTCCAATCTTGGGATTCTTATATGATTCAGTTAAAGTCTCTCCCTCGATCACTGGAACACACTCTCTGCTCCCCGGTTCTAAAAGTTGGGACCACCACTCAGGTCTGCCACTCCAGTGGTTTTATCTCTGTCCACCAAGTACCATTGAAGGGACGAGTCAATGCACTCAAGGTGTAACCTAAGAAAATATATTTTATTGCGTTGGAAGAAATTGGGGAAAACAGCAGGCGTGTGGAAAAGGATGAAGTTACTGAGGCTGCAGATGAAGAAACTGCAGGACAGCAAATGTAACATTTCATTTCCTCCACAGAATCCATTTTCTCTACAAACGCCTTTGGGTGTCGCCGCGACAACGCAGGCCGTCAGTGATCAACACATACAGGCTGGAGGAGATTGGATGTGGACTGTCACTGTCTCTCCATGCTCCACAGAGTTCTATTACGGGGAAAAACAGATTCAATTACCACAGAGACAACAGGAAAACTACATTGATTGTGTCAAGCACACACACACACACACACACACACACACGCACGCACGCACGCACGCACACACACGCTGAGAAAGCAGTTAAATCTCCCCGAGAATTGCTACAAGCAATTGAGATCTTAATTTCCACTCGTCTCCAGCCACCTGCTGCTCTACGCGTCAACGTGTTTCTGTCTCTGGGCAACAGGTTTCCAGAACATCCATCCAAAGACATATATCCATCCCTAAGATCCGTCTTGGATTAAATCACTTCTCACCTCAATAATGTGCGTCACCGATCACTTTCATGATCATTTTCTTTTTATCTTATAATCTCACACTCTCTTCTTTATGATCAGTGCATCACATGGTGCAATCACTCTATCTGTCCAGCCAGGCCATATTCTGTCAATAAACAGTCAGGTGCACATGTCAGTCACATGTGGATGTTTCCAGCCTTTTACAAACCGTCTGCTATCTCTTTAAAGAGATATCGGCAGAGGCAGAGT